AAAAAAAAAAAAAAAAAAAAAAAAATCATAGAAAGAGAACGTTGTTTTGTTTTTCCTCTTCTTCTTCTCGCATCTCCACACGAGGCCGTTGTCAAAGACTCGGTCAGGCCGTGGTCGGAGACTCGACCAAGCCGTGTTCGGAGACTCGGAGTGGCGGAGGTCCGATCCGCCGCCGCAGATGGCCGCTAGAAAGGCAAGCGAGCGCGATTTTTTTGCACCAAATTTCTCCCCCTTATCAGTCGAAATTAGGGATTTTGGGACTGTGGTAGGGCCGACCGTGGTCGTCGTGGCGGAATTCCCGTCCTCCGCTGATGGCTGCAATTATCGCGAACGATCGCGACGCCTATGGGGAGCAGATTTCGCCCGTACAATTTAGAAATTTTGGGAATCTGGTTATTGCACTTCGTTTGGCCCCTTTCTCTATTATTATTATTATTATTATTATTATTATTATTATTATTATTATTATTATTATTATTATTATTATTAGTTGCTTTGCTTATCTATTTAAAATAAAAATAAAAAGAGATAACACATGTATTGACTATTTATATATCTACATAAATAAATAATTAAACTATATTCCCAATTAAGATTAAGTTAATTGTTATAAATTGTCAGTACTCAGTATATAAACTATTATTTTGTTTTATTTTTTTCTTTCAGATAAGCCAATGATTTATCAGCCTTCAGAATATATAATGCAGCGCGCACCGCTATCGAATATTACAAATAGTAAGTATTTATTATACATAATTACACTTATTTGTTAAAAACTTTAAATCATTGTTTTTTATTTTTAGATTGTTTTTTTAATTTGTCATTTACACTGCAACTTTTGTAACAGCTCCGTCAAGAACACCATCAAATTTTATATATTCCAACGTTTGGAGTAAGTTTACGTTTTAATTCTATCATATAATTATATAAAATTTAGACTTATATTTTATTTTTTCAATTGATTTTGCAGATACTATACAATCAAGTCATGCTCCGATATCAAATTTTACTACCAAAAGTACCACAACATGTTTTTCCAAACCGAGTGTTGTAGGAGACACGAGCGTCATTGATCTCACAAGTGATGACGAGCTTGACTCAAGAATTATTCCTCAACTTAATTTAGAACAATCAAGTCTTAGTAGTCATACTACTGGTGTTTTACGAGGATGTAATGATTCTTATTTACATATCTTTTTATATGAAACTATTTATTTTCTTTTTCCTCTTGGTCATCATTTAAGAAGTATTTTTTATAATGAAAAATAAAATGTAGGTGTTAATGAAGCAACATTATTTTCGAAGATGACGATGTTTAGAGGATGTTTTGAACAAACCAACTGTGAATGAGAGCCAATTCCTTGCATGGTTCGAGGCGAATAAAATGTACCCAGAGGCTCGGGAGCTTACTTATGTTGAGGCACCGTCTAAATTTGTTTGGGACGCAAAAGAAAGAGAGTGGAGGTCTTGAAGAAGGGAACATGGTACAATAGGCCGCCTAAACCATGTGAACCTTGGTTGCGGAGATAATTACTATTTGAGATGTCTATTAAATGTTGTTCGTGGTGCTAAAAATATTTAATTTTCTGATACTGAATTATTTTTTATTTATAATAAGAAAAGTGATTTGGCAGATCTCCACACGCCAGAATTCTTGAATAGCATCAAGTGTTCTGGTTGTCCCAACCATGAGTTGCACCTGAAAATAGGAACTCCAGTAATGTTGTTGCGCAATATGGACCATTCTATGGGACTGTGCAATGGTACTCGATTGGTTGTGACTAAACTCTCTACTCATGTTCTCGAATACAAGATATTGACAGGAGATCACGCTGACGAGAAGGTGTTGATTACACTTATTAGTTGGTGATAATGAGGAGTTAGCAAATAATCAAACTCATAATGTAGTATACAAGGAAGTTTTTAATAATATATGATTGTAAAGTCACGAACAATTTATGATTCAATAATGTTCCTATGTATTTTAATGATTTCGATTTCGATCATAATGCACGCGAAATTATATTATTCTTCAAAATAATACAGCCCGTGCATCGCACGGGTTACGTACTAGTATATATGTAAATACATGTTCATTTTTTTATTTATATTAAAATACATGTTCATTTTTTTATTGCAAATGAAAGTGAACGTAGTTCTTGTGTACAATACATCTCGTATTACTTGTACTTATGTTTAGGCATGTGGTTATGAATTTGTTCACAAATCAATGGAAGTTTGGAACTAATGAATAGGGGGATGAAATTAATGTGAAGTGTTGACGACTCGA